TTATTTTTTATTTTTTATTTAAAATTTATTTTAAAACATTAATTTTTTTATATTTTAACTTTATCTAAAGTAACGATGCAAAAATAATTGGGAATTCGTCATATGGAAGGAGTGAGAAACAAAAAGAGGAAGGTATTTACCTTTTGGTTACCAGGAAGGCAGAAAGTAAGCCTCAGTTTTGTTTTGTTTTTGGAAAGTTTTGCTTAAGGATGACTACCTTACGCTTAAAAGGCAAATTTAATAGTGAAAATTTGGTTAGGGAATTTAAAACTCAGACCTAAAAGCTGGGAATTTATTTTTTAAATTTTTTTGAAGAGGGAAAATTTTGGTTGAAGGGGATGGATAATTAGAAGACAGGTGCAATTGGAGCAGCTTGAACCCTGCCAGGGCCAACATGCACCTTAGTGAATGCGGCTGACGCTGGCAGTGCATCATTTTTAAGATGAATTCAAACTTCTAATCTATTGAGATTAGTTGACTTAAGTGGTTAAAAAATTACTTAAATTATATTGATGATGATGTGTTTAGGCAGCTTCAAGAACTCTACTATTGAAATCACAAACCGGTCTAACATTTGAAAAATCCAAGGATGTTTTCTTGAAGTAGACATTCCAATGTTCAAATTAGTAATATTCTATGATTTAAAGACAAGTCCTCAAAAAGAATTATGTAGAGAGAGAAATGTAGTGGAATTGTTACTTTGTATGAAGGTAATTAAAGGTATTTATAAGATCCTATTTCCACGTGTCCACGTGTCATTACTCTATTGGTACATTTACCCTTGGTTTCTTGGATGAGTTATGATTAAATTACCTACACTACACTTTTAGGGTTTATATGATATTTTGGGTTTTATTGTTGATGTTGGGCCTCCTCCTCAACATGATGTAAATTTAAATCTCCCTAGAGACAATTAAATACAAATAATTTTAAAGGATAATATATCCACCAAATATCATTATTATAAAAAAATTTAGATCTCTAAATAAAAGTTGTCGAATGTATCTCCAACAAAAATTTTACAAACACGCACTAATCTTTTACTTTGCCTAAATTACGAACTCCCTACTAGCTAGCAAATTATTATCCATTCAAAAATGACGTCCATTCCATGCAAGAAAATTCTTATTTTAGCAAACACCATCTACTATAAAAACATCTCAAGCTAATCAATCAAGCTAAATACAGCAAGAAGAGAGGAATTTCTCTACAATTCATTAATAATCCTTTGTCTCTGATCTCAAATCCCAAATTTTGGGATTTGGAATCTGTATATCACTAGGAAACAAATCTAGTTACTAGTGTGAGGAGAGAAAGAGAGAGGAATTAGGGGGTAGAAAAAGGGTAAAAATGAAAGGTAAGGTAGTCGTCACGGCCATTTCCATCATTTTAGTGGTTGGAGTCATCCTCAGCGTGATGGCTGTAGTCCACCGCGATGAGGGTGGCAACAATGAAAAATTGTCGCCACAAATGAAAAGTAGAATCTATTTGTCAAGAAATAAAGCTCACACGCCCTCTAATTAAGAAAGACTATCAAGTGGGGCGACCTTTTCAATCTTTTCATAGCGCCTGAGGTGTCATTAATTTTATAATCAACTCTTTTAGCCAGTATGGTTATAAAAAGATTCTCAATGAAAACTCTGATTTAGTGTGAGACTCACTGTATACAATAAAAATTTTTTTGTTAAAAATTTATGTAGTAAATTACAAATTTGATAAAACCGTAGGTTTTGATTTTTTGAAAATTTAATCCTTTGATTCTTTTCTTTGATAAGAATATTTCAATCTTGACTTACAAGGATCTTTATTGACTTATTCTTGTAATAGTCTGTAATTTATTCTCTTATAACAAAATCTTCAAATCTCTTAAAATGGAGTTTTTGATTTATTTTTCGTTAATGAGAAATCTTCCAAATTTCTTTTGATAAAAATTTATATGCCAAATTACAAATTTGATAAAAATGTGGGTTTTAATCTTTGAAAATTTAATCCTTTGATTCTTTTTTTTAAACAAAATATTTTCATTTTGACTTCTTGTATGAGGGTTTTAATTAACTTATTTTCGTGAAAGGGTCTTCAATTTATTCTCTTTTAACAGGACCTTCAAACCCCTTGTACCAGGATTTTAAATTTATTTCTCATTAATGCAAAATCTTTTGAGAGCTTAATCTTTGAAATTTGTTTCAAGGTTTTTTTGATTCTGAAGTATGTGTGAAAGAATTGAAGAAATATCCTATCTATAAGCGTGGGTTGAGGAATTCTTTTAAGATTAGAATTTCTTTACCAACTATTTTCTTAGTAATTTAAAATAAAAATGTTATCTTTATTTAACAAATAATAAACTATTTTAATCCTATTAATAAGAACAATAAATGTTTTAATTTAATGATTTTTCAAATATATTCTTTCTTAAAAAAATAAGACTTTTCCTTTAGCTATTTTGAATTGTGATTGGAATACATATCATTTTGTGATTGATTGATGGATATCATCAAAATAATTTTAATAGATAAAAAATAATATTATTTCTTTAAAATCTAAATTAACACGTGACATTTATTTTTAATTAACAAATAATTTGTTTTGTGTCTACACCCACAACCTCAAATGTGAAACCATACATATCTTTGGCATATACAAGAAGCCTCTCAATGAGTACATTGTATATAAACTAATGGTAAACTCAATCTTTCATCCAAATTTTTTACAGAATATTAAAAGAAAGAGAATAAGTTAATAAATATGGGGCCTTTCTTCACCAAAATCAAATATTACCTTTTACAATTCAACTGAGGTAAAACTACAAAAAAAAGAAATATTTGTTATATATATATTTAAATGAAAAAGAGTTTATTTATATATAAATTTTACATAATATAATTATGGTAAAGTGTCCATCAGTCCTACCTCCAAAAAAAAAAAAAAAAATTGGAGTCCCAACCAAAACGGCATCGTTCTCTTAATCCTAGTCCCACCTCTTTGCTTCTCTTGCAATAATCTCCATCTTTATCTCTGTTGCCTCCCATCTCCATCAACTCCGCTGATTCCTTCAATTTTTCAAACAATTACATAAGTTGAAGAAGTAACCCCTGCAATTCATCATCTCCATCACCTCCCACCTCCATT